CGCCCTCCCCCCCCCCCCCCCCCCCTGCAGCGGGAAGCCATTCCTGTCTCTTCACTCCCCCACACTGCCACAAGGCAGCTGCTAGCCACATGCTGGTGTGAACCCTGGCGGAAAGCTGGGGGTGAAGGGGGTGAGGCTGCAGGCCCCTTCCCTTTTGCTGTGGGAAGATGCAACACCGGGTATCTGGAGGGGCCTGTCTGTCCAGCCAGGAACGGAGGGTCGGTCACCCCACCATGTGTGAGGGGGGTACAGGTGGGTGGGTGTGTGGCCGCTCCTCATGTGAACTTTACAGACATGAAGGAAAATAAAAAAGATTCCAACGATGAAGTATTTTTGCTACAGGGGCTCAGACAAGTTGCTGTTAGCTTGAAGGTTTGTACTGCATCCCTTTGATTTGCCCTAGACTGTAGCCTGTTGGATTTTTAACCTTATCTCTAGGGGCTTAAGCTATGAGGGAGACAGTGCCTTCAAACAACCTGAGCTGTCCCCCTTTAATAGGGTGGGGTGGATTTTGCTGCTCCTCTTCCCCTTCCCCCACGCTCTATTTCTTGGCCCGGAATTTTTAAAAAAGCTTTTTATTTCCAGAAAGTTTCAGTACAATGTAAATATCTTTTGCTAGTGACTGGAGAGAAGCGAAGCTCCTTGACTCTCCAGAATCCTCTAACATCTATGGGGTGTTTTTAAGGGGCTGTATTTTAAAGTACTTCTCTGTTCGGATGGTGAAAATGTTTGAATCTCCCCTGCTTATCCTCCCACCCCATCCAGCAGAAAGGCTCCTGCTTCAGCAATTCTCATGGGTTTTAATGCTTCATCGCCCCTTCTCCCTCCCCCTTTTGGGTTCTATACAACAGGATTTGTGATGAGTTTGCACTTTGGCACATTTATTGCATGGGTTTTTTTTAATGGATAGTTTCACACACTGCAGTGTCTTTTGTCCTGAGTTTGTAAGGTACTAAATGTAACAATCACTCTCATTCCAGGTGTAAATAAAATTCTTGTTTTGTAAGAGAATGTGTTGGATCAAGGTTAATGTGTCTATTGACTCTCCCTCCTGCCAGTGGAGGGATGGAGGGGGAGTTGCGCAGGGTATGTAAAATGCTATAGAACTGTGGTACACATTCAAATACGCTCCTTTAGCATCCCTCAGCTGGGGTCTGCTGGCTTCTATAGAAGGCCCACGAGCATCCACAACAGGCTGACTCAGTCCACCATCTATCATACAACTCAAGGTAATTGGAATGGGAAAATCGGGGATGCGGGAGATCGAACTGACCTGTGCTGTTTTAGGTTAGTTTGTTTATTTACAATTTGTGGGGAGAAAAAATTGGTTTGTTTCTCTCCAAGCAGACTTTGCCTGCAGATACAACCAACTGGCTGGATATGAAATGCCCAGCACTAGTGCTGGCCTAGCTACTGGTCTTACTTGGCCTGCCACTAAAGATATTGGAGCTGTCTTGCCTAGTGGACAGTGCAGACCAGGAACAGTGCTAAGGATCAGAGCCGGAATCAGGCTCCTCAAGACAGTTCTGCTGTGGTCTTCTTTCACCTCATTGGTCTGCTGGAAATAGCTAGTTTTATCACCTGACGGCAGGAGACCAATGAGGTTTATGTGTGACCCTGCCAGAGTTGTCATGTTACTGGATTTTTAGGGGAGCAGCCAGATCACTGCTGCACCCATGGGGGGGGGGTGTTTGCCCCAAAGTGTATACAAAGGGGGCCATGTGAGGTATCACATGAAAGCTTCTGTTCTACAGGT